GCATGCCCATGGTAGGCATCAATGTGCTTTCAAACGGATCCTTCTACCTGAATGCCCTCCGTTAAATATTCTTGACATGAACCCAAATTTTATAAACAGGTTGGCATGCCCATGATAAGCATCCATGCCTGGTAAAAACGACTTTCGACATTGTATGCAAGTTGCGGCACATGCAAACATTTATTAGCCTTCTTTTACCATGAAAACTCCAGAAAATATAAAACTTGTGAAAACCCCAAAAAAACTCGGTATGGTGGCTTGAAATTGGTCATAAAAGTGAATGAAAAGGGGGTCATTTATGTCGAGAAATAAGGTGCTCTCAAACGAATCCTTTTGGCCCTACTCGAACACTCTCCGTTGAACTTGTTATTTTTTTGGAAATCTCATGGTTGAACCCAACTTTTGCAAGCAGGTGGTGCGTGCCCATGTTAGGCATCCATATCTGGTTTGATCAAGTTTTGATACCGTATGCATGTTGCGATACATCCGGCCATTCATCGACCATTTTTCAATAGAAAAATTCCAGAAAATGCAAAACTTGTCAAAAACCGAAACAATTTTGGCACAATGCCTTGAATTGAACATACAAGGCCATAAAAAAATTGGGGCCATTTTAAGGATGTCGAGAAACAACGTGCTCTCAGACTGTGTGTTTTGGCCTACCCGAACACCCTCCGTTCAACGTGGTCTCTTTTGGGACATCCTTGAAATGACCCCAGCTTTTGCAAGCATGTGGGCATGGCCATATTAGGCATCTATGTCAATTTTGAACGATTTCCTACACCGTATGCAAGTTGCGACATGTTCGGTCATTATCGGCCTTTTGACCAAGAAAACTCCAGAAAATGCACAATTTATTGAAAACAAAACAACTTGGCATGATGCCTTGAATTTGTCAAAAAACCAATGATAAAAATTGTGGTCATTTGATGGATGTCGAGAAACAAAGTGCTCTCAAACAGAGCCTTTTGACCTACCCAGATACCATCCATTGAACATGATCTAGTTTTGGACATTATTGAAATGGCCCCAGCTTTTGCAACCAGGTGAGAATGCCCATGGTAGACATCCATGCAAGATTTGAACGATTTTCAACACAGTATGCAAGTTGTGAAATGTCCGACCATTTATTTGCCTATTTTGACTGAGAAAACTCCAGACTGCATAACTTGTCAAAAACGAAAACAACTTGGTATGGTGTATTTTATTGGTCATAAAAGTCAATGGAAAATGGGATCATTTGACGGATATGGAGAAACAACATGCTCTCAAACAAATTCTTCGGTCCTACCCGGACAACCTGCGTTGAACATGGTGTTTTCTTGACATTCTTGAAATGACCCAACTTTTACAAGCAAGGGGCATATGCCCATGGTAAGCATCCATGTCAGGTTTGAGAAAAAGTATATAAAATAAAAAAATTAACAGGTACTTAAAAAAATGTTATTTTAGTTTGTAGCATAACTAATAAGTACAATGGGATGAAATTGAAAGAGTAAATATCTTTTAAAGCATTTAATAAATATTGGAAGGGAAAACAAAATTAAAATTAAAATTTTAAAAAGTTATTCACAACTGTTATTTTGGTATGTACAAACAATATTTCAAATTTTGAACAGGTTTCAAGTTTTTTTAAAGGAGATAAATGAACTACCCAAAAAAGAGAAGAAAACAGGAAAAAAACGCTCAAGCCTTTGCCTAACTAGGCGACAACATCGCTCCTGTGGGACGAGACTTGCCTGCTCCCCCCGCGTGTGCCCATCCGTGCTCCCGCGTACGTGGCTTGATTTGATTGGAACAAGATAAGGCCCGGCCCCACCCCCTTAAAATCAGGAGGGGCGATGATTAGATTAGAAAAAGAAAAGAAAGAAAACAGCCGTAGGATGAAGTGAGAGCACGGATGGGAACATTGGGAGGGAGCAGGCAAGCCGGATCCCCTGTCAGGCGCCTGTTGGACCTGCCCAAGCACTCATTGATTTGAAAAAGTTCATCGATTCAAAAAGTGTCCTTGTTTTCAAATACAAAATCAACAAAAAATCCCTCTTCAGAATTTGTTCACAAATTGAAAAAGTGTTTGGGGAGTTTCAAATAATGTTTGTGCATTCAAAATTTGTTTGGAATTGTAAAAATATTCCTATTTTCAAAAAAAAATTACACAAATACAAAAAATGTTATGGGAAATTAAAAAAATTCAATGTTTTTCAAAAAATTAAAAAAAGATGTGTTCAAATTATTTGGTGTACTCTATGAAAAATGAAAAAGAAATTAAAAAAAAGGAAAAAGAGATAGTGAGAAAAAGGTCGGTTTGGTATAGTAAACCAGTCATTGGGGATAGTTCTTGTTGTCTGCGTTTGCTACATAGACACTGCTTATTAGCTTGTGTGGCTAGCGACGAGCGGTCAACAACGGGAGTTACATGGTTCAATCCCTCGCACTGCCATTATTTTTTCGGTGAATTTTGTTCATAAACTCAAAAATTGTTGGGAATTTAGAAAATGTTGTGGTTTTCAATTTGTCTTAGAAGCTTAAAAAATGTTCACATGTTTGAATTTTTTTAGTAATTTTAAAAATTGTTCATACTTTTGCAAAATTGTTCAAAATTTCTAAAAATGTTGCCATTATCAAATTTTGTTCTCAAAATTCAGAAAATGTTCACGTTTTCCAGAAAAATGTTCAGGACTTTCAAACTTTGTTTCTATAAAAAAACCACACTTACAAAACAAAAAATGAAGTTTCAAAATTTGTTTGAGTTGTTCAAAAAATTGTCGGATTTCAAACATGCTTTGCTTTTTTAAAAAATTGTTCACAATCTCCAGGAAATGTTGAAAAAACAAAAACTGTCCAGATTCTGCTATGTATTTAGTTCTTGAGTTTGGGAGTTCCATTTTCATCACAAATGCTTGCTAGCTCCACTGGTTAGGTGCGATGCTACCCCACATGTTGTGGGAGATCTATCATCCCAGTGAGGTGCCTTGTATTCCCTATTTAGTTCAGAATTTTGGTTGCACACGCCTGTTACTATACCTTTTGTCTGAATTCTGCTTGCATACACCTGTACTATAATATACTAGTACATGAATCTGACTTGTAGCATGAAATTAGATATATTTGGTCGGGACCAAACACTGTCCTACACAAAGACCAAAGACCGAATAATGGAAAACCAGAATAATTTTAGTCGCCAATTATGGAAGACCGAAAAGACCGGACCAAGCAAACCAAAAACACCAATTTTCCTGCTATAAAAAATTGTCAGCTTGCAATAAAGAAATTCCCATATATACTAAAAAAAAACTGTAGGGCGCTCTGAACTGAAGGTAACCTGCCCTGCCACAAAACGCACGTCTCTGCGATCCGTGAGCCGACCACTAATACGTATTCTCTGTTCTAGTAACCCCGCTCAAATACGTAATCTAGCATGTTCCCCGAAACGTCTTCTTCCTCCCCTCCGTCGCCGTCGCCGGCCTCCAATGGCCATGGCGCTTTCCTCTCTCCTCCGGGAACCGGCCCTAAAATCAATGGGCAATGGTCTGGGTAACCATGGTAGGTAGGCCTCCTGCCGGCGACCCTGCCCCTCTTCGCCGCCAGCTTTCCAGATCCACAAAAAGTTGGCATCCTCATCCTCTTGGGTAGGTAGGTAGGTAAGGTCGTGCTGCGCTGCCTGTTAGTTTCATCTCCTGCGCTGGTTAATTTGCTGGATGTTACCTCCTACTCCTGCTGCTGCTGCTGCTGCTGCTTTTGTTCTCTGAATCAATGGATGATACTGATTCGTTTCTAGTCTATGATTCCACTTTTTTTGGTGTTCACATTACTAATTTGTTACTAGGTATGTAAAACATTTACCAGGGAATTTTCTATTTCTGCTGTTGCTACCGCCTACTATCCCTTATGATTTTCCTTGTGTACAAATCAATATACAGTCTGACTGACCACTAATTTGCTTGGACTGACAAATTCATTCATGTAATTGCTGAAAACTGCCATTGCACAACACTGGGCAACAAACTTGCTGCATTACTGGAGGTTGAGGATGCGATTTATCGGATCTTTTGAAGTTTTAAGAACCCAATGTAATTGCTGAAAACTGCCATTGCACAACACTGGGCTTATATCTAATATAGGTTGCAAAGAAAACAAATGCTTGCTAACTGAAGTGGCTTGTATTTGTTGCAGGGTCATATCACTCCAGCTCGAATGTCAACAAGACTCCATGCTCCGGCAAACAGGAGGCACGCATCTCTGCCGTCGCAGCTCTTATCAACGCCCGCTTTGGAGGCAGTGTCTTTGAGCCTCAGCACAGAAACCAAGCACTCCCGCATTCTATCTTTATGTATGCACCTACGAGAGTCTTGTTGATGGTTTTGACAAAGATATCCAGTGACAGTAACCAGTCTAGACACACTTGCCTTGGTGATATGAATATGAGATCTCCGCAATACATTGCAATTTAGTTAGCTTCTTTGTTGACTTGTGTGAGGATCCGAGGCAGGCATATAACCATGTGGGCTCAGGCCCTGCCAAATTGCATCTGCGTTTTCAAACCCCCCTTTCTTTTTAATAAGCCAAGGCGTGCGCTTCAATTAGCTTGGTTCTTAGCCTTCTTGTTAATGTTGACTACTGATTAATGAAGGAAGGAAGCTTGTTCACAAAAAAAGTTATATATGTCTGTTTATTTTAGTGTTCTTAACCTGATCCGATGAATTTTTTTTAGCTACATAAACAAATAAAATCGGATTGTTTTTCTAATAAGAAAAAAGAGGAACTTCTGAAACCCTCTAGAACTGTAGGTCCACTGGTTTACCTGAAGCATGAAGTAATGTTGCCTGCATGTGCACAGTTTTGAGAATAGAAAAACAATTACACTGTTCCCTTTCTGGACCTCTACAGAACAAGCTCTAGTGCTACTGTTGCAAATCACCATGGCTCTCCATTTATTCGATACAGTTGTAAAGCATCATCACTCTAAGGACAATTACTAACTGAAACGTTACATAGTTTGTTTATTCAAGGCTATTCTGGATTTCTCGAGTCGAGGCTTCTTTTTCTGCTCCATGCCCCCCTATAAATTTGAGGTACGCATCTCTGATTGCATGCATCTCTTCCGCTGCATCTCTCGTTAGTGCTCGGTCTCGAGGTTGTTGCTTTGAGCAGAATATGCCAAGCTTGAAGACTGAAACCAACAACTCCTGGATTCTAATACTTGTACTGTTATCATGTTGTCCGCTGTGCAGCCACATTGTTGGGTCAGCTATCTCCAAGGTTCTATCTGGAAGAGCATCCTCAGCAAACTTATGCAGATCCAATGAATCTCCGAATGTGCCTTCTGTTGGGCTCCTTCCGGTAAACATCTCAAGCAGCAATATGCCAAGGCTATAAATATCACCAGCCGTTGAGGCCGCAGAGCCTTCTCCATACTCTACAATTATGCAAAGCTTTCTGGTTAGCATGCCATATTCGAGTGAAAAGGAAAATATAAAATTAGAATAGTTTCGGTCACCTGGAGCAACATAGCCTATGAAACCTCTAATTCCAGTTGAGCCATATGAAGTTTGCATCCCCTCGCTTGTATTTTCTTGAAGGATCCTTGATATGCCAAAGTCACCAACTCGTGCACTCATGTCTCCAGCAAGAAGAATGTTGCTTGGCTTAAGATCGCAATGGATTACCAATGGTTGACAGTAGTTGTGCAGATATTCTATTGCGTCCACAATATCAGCAGCAATATCGAGCCTCTGGGCAAGGCTAAGCGTGTTGTTTGTGGTCGGTTCTTGAGATTTTGGATGAAGCCAACCATCCAAGTTACCATTGGGCATGAACTCAAAAACCAATGCCTTGAACTCTTGACCTTGGTGGTTGACGCTCGAACAGGAAGTAATGATCTTAATCAGACAACGGTGTCGTATCCTTCTCATGGCCTCACATTCAACCTCAAAACTCTTGGAATACCTAGATTGACCAAGATTAAATACCTTGACAGCCAATGTTCTATCTTCAGTGTCCAAAACACACTTATAAACCGCACCATAACTTCCTCTCCCAAGCAAGTTGGCTATTGAAAATTCATTAGTTCCCCTCAATAATGCATGATATGGGATTCTCTTGTAATGGTCATCAACAATTGAATTGTGTGCTAATGTCTTCTGGCTTGGTTTGAGCTTCTTGCAAAATATCCAAAGAAGAAGAATAACTAAAAGTGACAGCAAGATTGCTCCGGCTGTTGCTAGAGAAATTACAAGAGACTTTGGCATCCTTTTTCTGTTCTTGCTTGAGGGGCTTGTGGGGCATGGAGCCAAGTGAAGTTGAGGTGTACCACCACACAAATTAATATTCCCAGCAACTACTAAGTAAGTGATGTTTCTGAAAACACCTTCATCTGGCACCTCACCTTGCAAATTATTGAAGGATATATCCAGTACAGACAATGATGTCAAATTCTGTAGAACTGATGGGATTGACCCTGATAAGCTGTTGTGTGCTATGTATAGTTCTTCCAGGCTTCCAATATGGCCAAGAGCATCAGGAATATTACCAGAGAGCTTATTCATGGTCAGGTTCAATACTCTGAGCCCCTTTATATTTCTCAGTGACAGAGGTATGCTTCCCTCAAACAAATTGTTGTCTAATGATAGCCATTCCAACACTAAGCAGTTCTGAATACTATCAGGTATCTTGCCAAACAACTGGTTTCCTGATAGAGTCAGTCGGTTAAGATCTGTCAAACGACCAACTTCATTAGGAAGGGGACCAGAAAGGGAATTGTGTGACAAGTCCAAATACCAAGAGAGGCCGGGTAATTTAAAAATCTCTGTGGGTATTGAACCGTTAAGGTGGTAATTCTTTGACAAATCAAGTACAAAGAGGTTTTTCAACTCTCCCAGGCTTGCCGGAATTGACCCCTCCAAGTTGCCATAATATGCATAAAGCCTATTTAACTGGGAAAGGTTTCCTAGCGATGACGGTATGAGCCCAGACAAGCTATTGTTGTACAAGCCTAGAGCGACCAAGTTCTCTAGCTTACCGACGGTCTCTGGAATCACTCCGGATATCAAAGTATGTGCTATCCAAGTACTTCCAGACCAACCAGATTGCCAATGTCTGCAGGGATACTCCCAAAGATCCTATTGTTCATTACCTGCAAGAACCGGAGGGTCGTTGAGAGGTTCACAATTGGACCAGGTAGTTGTCCTCCAAAAGAATTGATGCTGAGTTCCAACGTCTTCAGTTTGCTGCAGTTTGCCAAAGAAGTGATGAATTCCCACCCATCATTGTCATCCGCTTCAAGCTTATTGTCAGCAAAGTACAGTGTCTGGAGAGCTCCCAGCTTCCCCAATGTGGGAGGCACGTACCCACTAAATCCATTATGGTAGAGGCCAATTGTTTCAAGGGAAGATATGTTGGATATTGAGGAAGGGATGGTTCCTGTGAATTGATTATGACCCAAGCCAAAATAATACAACTTGGGGAACTTGCTACCAATATCATCCGGAATGTTTCCGTGCAACTTATTATACCCTACTTCAAATGCTCCCATCAACGACCAATTGTAGAGAGAAGGTGGAAGCATACCGGAGAGGTTGTTTCCAAAGAGATTGAAAAAACGCATGCTCTGGATGCTGCCAAGCCCTGGTGGAATCGAGCCAACGAGCTGGTTATTGGAGAGGTCCAGGACTTGTAGACGGGACAAATTGGCTAGTGACGCTGGGATGGGCCCTGTGAAGCTGTTGTTTCTCAGCGAGATCGCTACCAGGGCTGTGAGCTTCTCGCCGAGCTCAGCCGGGATGCGCCCGCTTAGCTTGGTGTTGTACAGTCCCATATTGGTCATGCTGGTGCAGGAGCTCAGGTTGACTGGTAATGTGCCGGAGAAGGAGTTTTCTCCCAAGTAGAGCTCCTGCAGGCGGCGGAGGCGGCCGAGGCTCGCCGGAATGTCCCCGTGGAGCGAGTTGGTGCCCAGGTCGAGAGTCCGCAGGAACGTGAGGTTCCCGATGGCCGGGGAGAGTGGCCCAGTGAGCCCGGTGGCGTTCAATCTCAGCGCCACCACCCGCGCTGGCCTTCGGTGGCTGCACGTCACGCCTTTCCAGCTGCAGAAGCCGGCGCTGCTGTTCCAAGAGGCCAGCAAGCCACCATTGCTGAGGTGCGCTTTGAAAGCAAGCAGCGCGGCCTCGTCGCCAGCGGTCGCCGTCATGGCGATCGACAGGACGGCCAGGAATGAGCATAGCAAACTCATGACTCCCAGTGCCATTGCTTGGTTTGGTTGGCAAGTAGTAGTAGCCTGCTCTGCTCTGTATATGCTTCTGGGCTCGCTTGATTGCTAATATTCTAAGATGTACAGCAAGTTGCTCTCACTTCCCAACTAACAGTAATTAATGTAGAGTTTGTCTTGTTTTGACGACTTGGAGACCTCAAACCTGTCTTTAGATGCGTCAGCTAAATAGAGGAATTAATAATGTGGCAAGTCGGTGAGCTAGACATGTCAATCGTCTCAACTCTATATACTCCCTTCGTCCCAAAATAAATGTTTGTACTAATTTTAGTACAAAGTTGCATTAAGATTGAGACACTTATTTTGTGATGGAGGGAGTATTATGTTAGTAATCAAGAGTGATGTTGTCTTTGTATAATGAATGCTAAACAGACAAGTTTAATTAGGAGTAATCAGAAGAGGGATCTCTTGTTTAGTTTCCAAATCAAATTGCTCTCACTGAATCTCTGAATGTATATCGATCGGTTTGGCTGGCTGGCTGCTGTTTTTGAAATAGTTACATTCTTTTTTTGAGACTTGCAATAGTTACATTCAGTAATGAGTAGAGGGATTTGCATCATTCATTTCATTTCAGCCGCCGGCCACCTCAAGCCCCTCCCCTCCATCCTCCACACGCCGTCGTCGGAGGAGGCGACCGGGCTAGGCCCGTGCCGCGAACGGCGGCGGCGGGGCGAGCTCTCTCTCGCGGCGCGGCGTTTTCACCTCAGATTCAAGGCCGAGGCAGCGGCCGGCCATGGCGTTTGCGTGGCCTGCTCCATGCGCGGCGACGCGCTATTGGCTACCCGCGAGGCGCCCTTTCCCGGCACCCTTGCTGCTCCCAATGCGGCGCCAGATCCGTGCACCGCCCCGATCTGATCCGCGGTGCCGCGGCGGCCTGGGGGCTGCAGGCTCGGCCTGATTTAAGGAGACGGTCCTAGGGTTCCTCAAGTGACAAGATGAAGATCTGCCTGACGCCTGTCTTTCTTGATCTGGTCGGAGTGTCGGGTTCCAGAAGGCTCCGTTGGCGAACTCCTATGGACGCGTTATGCCTGGAGATTGCTGGATCGGGTGGGATTCGGTCGTGCCCACTGGTTCTCCGTGTTAAGCAGGGAGCGGTGTGAAGCTCTGCTATCTGTTGGCATCATGGGATATGTTTAGTTCCATGGTGAAGTCAGAGGCGGAGAATGTCATGGAAGCTGAGATCGGAGGACTAGTAACGGTGATTGGAGCCTTTGTGGCGATGAGGAACTTGCTTGGAGTTTCGGATTTTGTAGCAGCGGTATGTAAGTGGGGCGGCAGCACATGTGCAGTTCAAAGTTTTATCTCTCAGGGTGAAAATCCAAGGTCTGGCCTTGATTGGTTGTGCCTGGCAATGGTCTTGTTGAAGACATTGTTTTGAGAGCGGGGACTATCTTCGGGGCGAAAATCCAAGATCTATGATCGGGTACGCCGGCGCTTGTGCATTGTTTCCTTCTTTGATGCATCACTTTTGGAGAACTTGGACTTCAGGTGTTGTTTTGGTGATGGTTGTATTGTTGCTGCATGGACTAGAATTCTGTAGCGGGGCTTTTCTTTTTTTAGCTTCTTTTTCTTTTCTTTTTTTGGTTGTGTGCATCTGCAATGCCATTAGGGTATTACGTTGTTGCAGAGGCTGGGTGTAATATATATCTTCGCAATATTAATGTATTCCTTTTATCGAAAAAATTTCAGTTCATTTCTTTCACCGTCATACATTAATTGTTGATACTAACTAATATAGCTAGCAGTGCCATATACAGGCTGTAAGGGCCTTGCTCAGGACATGGAGTATTTGATCCCGAGCTCATATGCTCTCGCATGAACAGTAAAATGGGAAAAAATAGTTAAAAAATTCAAAAAAAATCTGTTTTTTTTGTGATGAACATTGATAAATTTTCTAAGTGTGTGCCAAATTTTAGGTTGAAATGACTTGAGGTCTGCAAAAAAGATAAAATCGATGGTCCAAAAAGACTATTGTTGGAAGCATTTTGGAGCATCGATTTTGTTATTTTTGCCCAGACTTCCACAAATGTCATTTCGACCTGAAATTTTACACGCAGTTAGAACATTTATCAATGTTCATCACAAAAAAACAGATTTTTTGAAAAAAATTATTATTTTTTCGATTTTACTGTTCATGCGGGAGCATATGAGCTCGGGATCAAAAGAGCACTTTCGCCTTGCTCAGAAATACTTATGGCAACGCTAATTCAGATAGTAGCACCGTACGTATGAACACTAACTAGCTAGCTTTAGTACTTCCTCCATCCCAAAATAAGTGTACAAAGTTATATACTAAAGTTGAGACACTTATTTTGGAATGAAGGGAGTATTATATAGTTAGGCCTCCTTGGTTTGTCGAAGGGCCATCGGCCGAACTTTATTAGAAAGAAAGAGAGTACAACAGCGATCGATGGTCTAGGCGATCTAGAGCTGTCTATCGGCAGAGTCGAAGCTCAGAACAAAGAAGAAACAACCTAAACTGGAACCCAGCAAGGGCCCAACGGAAAATCAAAAAAACATCAGTACACATCGCCTACACAACCGGCAGATCTCCAGACAACAATATCTTCTCTGATCAGCTCCATCACCCTGTCCACATTGCTGCCCACATGCTAAAAAAAACCCGCGTTTCGTTCTTTCCAAATTCTCTAGTGGATCAGAATGGTGATGGTGTCAAAGTTTCTTCGAGCTGATTTGGGAATTTCCTTTCGAGTATTGATCCACCGCGATTCAGAGCTGTCAAAGTGATCATCAGGGATCGAGAACTGAGCCCGCGTCCAGTCTCTGAACCTGGACCAAACCTGCTGTGTGAATCGGCAAAATAAAAACAGATGATTGCAGTCTTCGGCCACCGAGAGATACAGCGGGTGTAGAATAGAAAGTATGTCTAGAGGGCGAATGATTAGACTACTTGACCAAATAAAAAACTTGCCTTTTCCCAATTTTAGTTTTGGCAGATTTTAGCAACTTAGCACAAGTCATGTTGGAAATATGCCCTAGAGGCAATAATAAAAGGATTATTATTATATTTCCTTGTACATGATAATTATCTTTTATTCATGCTATAATTGTATTATCCGGAAATCGTAATACACGTGTGAATACATAGACCATAATATGTCCCTAGTGAACCTCTAGTTGACTAGCTCGTTGATCAACGGATAGTCATGGTTTCCTGACTATGGACATTGGATGTCATTGATAACGAGATCGCATTATTAGGAGAACGATGTGATGGACAAGACCCAATCCTAAGCATAGCACAAGATCGTGTAGTTCGTTTTGCTAGAGCTTTTCCAATGTCAAGTATCTTTTCCTTAGACCATGAGATCGTGTAACTCCCGGATACCGTAGGAGTGCTTTGGGTGTACCAAACGTCACAACATAACTGGGTGACTATAAAGGTATACTACGGGTATCTCCGAAAGTGTCTGTTGGGTTGATACGGATCGAGACTGGGATTTGTCACTCCGTATGACGGAGAGGTATCACTGGGCCCACTCGGTAATGCATCATCATAATGAGCTCAAAGTGACCAAGTGTCTGGTCACGGGATCATGCATTACGGTACGAGTAAAGTGACTTGCCGGTAACGAGATTGAACGAGGTATTGGGATACCGAATCGAATCTCGGGCAAGTAACATACCGGTTGACAAAGGGAATTGTATACGGGGTTGCTTGAATCCTCGACGTCGTGGTTCATCCGATGAGATCATCGAGGAGCATGTGGGAGCCAACATGGGTATCCAGATCCCGCTATTGGTTATTGACCGGAGAGCAGTCTCGCTCATGTCTGCGTGTCTCCCGAACCCGTAGGGTCTACACACTTAAGGTTCGGTGACGCTAGGGTTGTAAAGATATTAGTATGCAGCAAACCGAAAGTTGTTCGGAGTCCCGAATGAGATCCCGGATGTCATGAGGAGTTCCGGAATGGTCCGGAGGTAAAGAATTATATATGGGAAGTCGAGTTTCGGCCATCGGAAAAGTTTCGAGGGTCACCGGTATTGTACCGGGACCACCGGAAGGGTCCCGGGGGTCCACCGGGTGGGGCCACCCATCCTGGAGGGCCCCATGGGCTGAAGTGGGAGGGGAACCAGCCGCTGGTGGGTTGGTGCGCCCCCCCTGGGCCCCCCTCTGCGCCTAGGGTTGGGAACCCTAGGGGCGCCTCCACTTGCCTTGGGGGGAAAGTCTCCCCCATTTGGCCGCCGCCCCCCTAGGAGATCCCATCTCCTAGGGCCGGCGCACCCCCCTGGGGTCCCTATATAAAGAGGGGGGGTGGGAGGGCAGCCGCACCCTGACCCCTGGCGCCTCCCTTCCCCCTTGCTACACCTCCACCTCCCGTAGTCGCTTGGCGAAGCCCTGCCAGAACCCTGCTGCATCCACCACCACGCCGTCGTGCTGCTGGATCTTCATCAACCTCTCCTTCCCCCTTGCTGGATCAAGAAGGAGGAGACGTCACGCTGACCGTACGTGTGTTGAACGCGGAGGTGCCATCCGTTCGGCGCTAGGATCTCTGGTGATTTGGATCACGACGAGTACGACTCCCTCAACCCCGTTCTCTTGAACGCTTCCGCTCGCGATCTACAAGGGCATGTAGATGCACTCCCCTCTCTCGTTGCTAGATGAACTCATAGATTGATCTTGGTGAACGTAGGATTTTTTTTTATTTTATGCAACGTTCCCCAACAGTGGCATCATGAGCTAGGTCTATGCGTAGTTCTCTATTGCACGAGTAGAACACAAATCTGTTGTGGGCGTAGATGTTGTCAACTTTCTTGCCACTACTAGTCTTATTTTGCTTCAGCGGTATTGTGGGATGAAGCGGCCCTGACCGACCTTACACGTACGCTTACGTGAGACAGGTTCCACCGACTGGCATGCACTAGTTGCATAAGGTGGCTAGCGGGTGTCTGTCTCTCCCACTTTAGTTGGAGCGGATTCGATGAAAAGGGTCCTTATGAAGGGTAAATAGAAGTTG